TAAATTCTGGTTATTACTAGCCAATTTTGTGACCTTGCTTAAATCACTTCACTTCTTAAGGCTTTAGTTTCCTTATGCTTAAATTATATATAATTTTATATATATAATTGTTCTACTCCAATGTTACATTGCGGCATGGAGGTAGCATTGGATTCTTGAAAGCTTTGCCAGAAGAACAAAAGCTCTAAAAGAATCTGCCATCCTGAAAAGGGTTTGAGCGTGGCCCTAGTAACAGGCTGAATCTGTTTCTAAAGCCTCTCTTCACTAACAATGGAGAGGCATATCACAGTAATGAATTATTGGGGTGGGGTGATGCTGGTATGGCAACACATGAAATAAAAATCTCTAAGGTCCCTTGAAGCTACAAAACTACTTACAATGTAATGTACACACACATATATATATGCATATTTATGAGTACAGATATATTGTGTATTTAGGTATACATGTTTGGGAATGTGTCTACACATCTTTGTAAATACCTTGTGTTATTATGCCCAGCTGCGTATAAATCTCATACCTCTACTAGATCTGTATCCCAAAAGAGATAAAAAACAAAAAGTATCTACAAGTATAAAAATATTTATAATAGCTCTTTTCTGGGGGCAAAGAATTAGAAATTGAGGGGATATTCATCAATTGTGGAATGGCTGAACAAGTTGTGATATGTGATTGTGATGGAATACCATTGTGCTATGTGAAATGATGAGTGACATGCTCTCAGAAAAGGCTGCAGAGCCTTGCACGAGCTGATATAAAGTGAAATTTACTGTGTACAAAGTAGCAGCAATATTGTAAGATGATCAACTGTCAATGACTTAGCTCTTCCTAGCAATACAACGATCTAAGACAACTCTGAAGGACTTAAGATGAAAAACACTATCCATCCCTAGAGAAAAAACTGATGGTGTCTGAATATAGATTGAAGCATACTTTTTAAACTTTCCTTATTTTTGTTAAGGTTTGTTTTTGTTTTTGTCTGTTTTCTTTTACAACCTGACTATTATGGAAATGCTGTACATGACTACACATGTATAACCTATATTGAATTGCTTGCCTTCTCAATGAGGTGGCATGAGGAGGGACCATGGGAGAGAAATGGGAACTTTATTTTAAAAACAAATGTTCAAATTATTTTTACATGTAATTAGGAAAAAATAAAATACTAAAAAAAAATAAAAGAAAATGACTTTTCATGCCACAAGGAACCTTCACTAAGATGGGTGCCCTCCACCACTGACTTAGGTCACAACAGGCCTTCTTGTGTTATTAAAAAAAAAAACCTTGTGGTCAACTACTCAAAAATGAACCTCTCTGCATTTAGCTAGGCTGGTTCAGTCTATAGACTTAAGCTGACTCTCTGCTGATATAACTTTCCAAAACCCAAGGTTATCTCCATGAGCAAAAAAATGAAACATCTCAAGATTTTTTTAAGTGGAAGATTTATGAGTGAATCAACTCCAATGGTGAACCAAAATAGTTATGCTTTGGCATTTAGAGTCACAGGATCAAAGAGAAATAGTTAGAAGGTACTGTCATTGTAAAAAGACTACATCTTCCTCCTAAGCACAGCAATAGAAACTTTATTGAAGGAACGTAGAAGATACAGACAATATGTGTACTTGACAATGGGGAGGCCCTTTTAAGAAAGCAAGCCTCTCCACATCCCCCAAGGAATTTTATATCTCCCTCTTGGTACTGTGGCTATTAACATTAAACTTGATGCAGAACTTATCATTATTAAGCAGAAATATGACCTTTTTTTTTTAATCAGTCTAGAAGCAAGGTCAGAATCAGGGAGTGATTGAGGGGACTAAAACCAAGAAAAATGTGACTCTTCACTTTAACTGAAATGGAGGACAGTTTCTAAGATGAAGTTATTCATTTCTAAAAGAGGGAAGATTAGAAGGCCTTTCTTTTCCTCCAAAGGAACTTGCAGGTCATATGATCCATAAAATCCTTTCATTTTTATGAATGAGGGACCTGAGGCTTAGAAAGGTGAGGTATCTTGCCCACGTACACACAACTAGTAAGACTCTGAAGTGGTATTTGAACACTTGAATCCCCAATTTGCTAATTCCAACTCTACCATTCACCACACTATACTATAATAATAACAATAATAACAACAATAATAAATCCTAGCATTTATATAGTGCTTCAAGGCTTACAAAGTGATCTACATATGCTAACTCATTTGATTTTCCCAACAATACTGTGAAGTAGGTGCTATTATTAGCCCCATTTGACAAATGAGGAAACTTTGGTACAGAGAGGTGAGATACCTAGGGGTCACACAGGGTCTGAGGCAGGATTCAATTGATTTTCTCCCGACTCCCTGTTTTACATCATACGCATCATTCATAGACAGTTGAAAGCACTTGTCTTAGTAGTAATCTATTAATTTTGTTTCTTTGTAGGCCAGCAATTCAAAGCAGTTTGCTTATTTAAGAATTACTCCCTATTCCCAAACTATTAAAAAACCAACTTTCTATTCCTAACAGGTGACAGGCAGAGTAAAGAGAGAATAATCAGATTCTTCCATTTTCCATTTCTTTTTCCCTGACACAAACATGTATACAATCTGTCACTTTGGCAAACTGACATTAGAGCACTCTAACAGCTATCTTTAATTCCTCTTCCACTCTAGACCACCCTGACTTCCTGAATGTCATCACAGTACATCTCAGCAGGGAGTTTAGTTTCTACTTAGAAAAATAGGAAGCAGAAGTTTAGGGTTTAGTTTCTATATGAGTACTACTATTAACTCACAGAAAACCCATTGACATTGGTCCACTCATTTAAAAAATACTGTTAAGTGCTCTGTATTCTCAAAGGAAAAACGAGAACAGGCTTGAAAGATCAAACTGCAGACAAAATAATAGTGTGGGGAAATTTTTTATGACCTGGAAAAAAAAACACTTCCTCCTCATAATAATGTAAGTTTTTTGAGGGCAGAGACTGTTTCTACTGGAGTAGACACTTAACAAATGCTTGCTGATTTACAGCTTAACTTCCTAGAGCTCCCATATCCAAGGGAAAATGGGCTGCTAACCCAGGATCTTTTTTTTTCTTTTCAGTTAAACCTTCTCAAGCAGCATTCTCACCAGTCCCACATATCCTTCCATCTCATCTGCCCCACCAGAGATGAAGCATTCCTCCCCTTTCCAACTCCATTACTAAAACTGTATTCTTCATAGTAGTGCTGTTGACACACATCCAGGGAAGGTTTCCCCAGCTATCCCCAACCATGTTGAATGTCTTTCCTATTAGCTTCTAACTAATGCCAAGTTTATCAGACGTTTACCAACTGTGTGACCTTCAGAAAGTCATTTAATCTCTATCTACCTCAGCTTCCTCAACTGTAAAATGAGATCATTATAGCACCTACCTCCCAGAGCTGTAAGGATAAAATGAGATAATATTTGTAAAGTGCTTTTCAAACTTTGAAGTGTTATACAAACACTAGCTATTAATTATTATTATTTTATTATCATGTACATTATAGTAGTGCAGCTGCAAACCCAGAGGAACTGAAATCTAAACCATGAAGTTTCCTGCAAAAGTGGTTTGTCTTTTAAATGACAAAACCAGGAAGTATAAGGAGAGAACAGAGGAACTGGCCACAAGCTCCCAAACATCAGTGGAAGACAATGTAGGAAGAGAAAACATAAGCATAGAAATGGAGACAGGAAAGAATGAGACATGTTTCCAGGGGAATGGCAAGTATTCCAATTTAGTTTGAGCACAGTGGACATGCAAAACCCTTGCAAATGAGATTTTCATGTGATATGAAAGGACCAGTTACATTTTGCGGGATTTCTCAATTTTTGGCCTTGCAGTTCACAACTATGACAATTTCAGAACTTCACTACTGGATGCCACTCATTATCCCATTACTAACTTCCCCTATTAACACATAGTTCACAAAACTTAAAGAATGTCTAGATTTATGTATTGGTCAAAGTAAACAGAGTTCATGGAAAACTTATGGAAGATGACACCTATCCACGAGGAAACTTTCCTCAGAAGCTGTATGGCCTTAATCATTTAAATTCAGCTCCCTTCATAGGGAGGACCTCAAACAGATATTGCCTTTAGTGTGGTTCCTCAATATGTATCCAACTAAGATTCTCTGACATTCTAGCTGAAGGCTATGCCTCCCTCCATGACTGCCTCTGATACCAGAACTGTACACACAGAAGTTGATAAACAATTACAGTTAGTAGCCGGGACTAGAACCCTTAGTAAGCATTTCCTTTCTACCCAAATATACTGATTACATAGCCCAAGAGGCATTAAATTCCCACTTTGTGGTCAGTGAAGTGTCTAGATCCTATTCCTAATTCTGACTAAAATTTTACACTCTGAAAGGTCTACTCAGAGGTGTTACAAGGCTCAAATGAGACAATGGATACAAAGCACTATGCTTACCTTTAAGTGCTATATACAGTCAATTATTATTAGTCACCAGGCTACCATTCTGGTGATAACTTTATTGTCTGAGCTTTCTACTGCCCTACTGCTGAGTTGATAGAGCAATATAGGGATGTGCTACTAAATATCTAACCACCCGGATAGGGGAAGAAAAGGAATGTATACATACTTTAAGTTGAATCAGCATTATTAATACCTCCTTAAGGCCAGATTCTAAACAATCAAACAAAAAAATTAAGTTCTGATTTGCAGTAACTGCTGGTTTTTGAGGTGCAAATGCTTATACTGAAAATGTAAGAACTGGAATCTCCCAAGGAGTTAAGAGTTGGGTCCAGTATACCCAGGATTCTACTACTCAGGGCAAGTCACACTAAAAGAGACCTGATTAGCCTGAACTCAGTGAAATTGTGAAACAAAGATGACAGCACAACTAGGGGAAGTATATTGCATGAATTTTGGCATTGATACAAGGGACAATGTCATTGTTCTTATTTAGAATCAGGTAAGAGAGGAGGAGCTTAAGACTAGAGAAAAATCCCCTCAAAGGGTGGAGTCAGGAGGAACTTGCTGTAGAAGCTCTCCCTGAACCTCAGTGTTAACTCTGGCAGAAGGTCCACTCTTCACTTGTTACTTGAAGCTACTGGAACACATCAGAAGCCTGGTCAGGTGAGAATTACTTCACAACACTTAGCTATAACACACACACACACACACACACACACACACACACACACACACAAAATTCTCACATTCATACAGATACTAGATATATACAATTGCTTGTAAAACAACCTGAAGTTTGTATTTCTTACCATCTCCCTGAGATCATGGGTGGTACACACACTGTAGTCTACCCTTTGTTCTTAAAACAGAATACTGTTTAAAATGTGGAACCAAATATAAGGACCTCAAAAGGAATCACCGACATAATGGAAGTAGTTTTACCTGAGATTTCTGCAGCCCTTGAAAAACTCCATTTAAAAACTTTTTTTAAAAGAACGAACACTGGAAATACCCTGAACTCAAGCCCATATATAGATGGATACAGTTAAGTAGCTTCTGAGTTCAGACAGCAAAGTGAACCACCTTTAAAATAAGCTTTACACTTTCAGTTGTTTGTTTTATGCCTGTTTCAAATAGTTTTATTTTCAGAAGTGAAACTGTGCAAGCATGAGACAAAATATCTTCCTTTTCATTTTCAGAAACAGTTGCCTAAATGGGAGTGTCTCTTTTTCTAAGTAGGAAGATAATTTTTTTAAACTGCTATTTCTGTCTACATTTATCAAGTGACATTAGGTTGTACCAACAGTCTCAGTCTCACTGTAGTTAGTATTATATTAGTTTGGTACTAAAATGTCCATGTGTTGCTCGGTGGTCATAAGAAGCTAATGCAACAAGTACTGCTTTACCAAAAACTGTTATTCTCTTTTTATTTCTACTGAATTTCTACCGAATATTTCTACTAACAAGCACTCTGAATGATATTCTAACAAGTTTTTTTACAACGACTTTTCACACACCACTATTATAATGTGCTTTGGTTGTTTAGTTTTAACATTTCTAAACTTTGAACTGTCCTATTAGATGTTATTTGCCCCTTTGACATGTTATGCTCAGGATTGTGTAAACATTAACTATTGTGTTATTGTGGTTATTCAACTAACCTTAGACCCCTCAGTAAATGAAGCAGAAGGAAATATAACAAATATTTACTTAGTATTACTGCACTGACTCCTTAAATAAGCACTCGGTGGGGAAAGATCCTAACTTATAAATTCACTGAGTATCCCATTACAGACTGCATTGGAACAATTTGTGTCTCTGTATGTGTTTGTCTATTTGGGTGTGCACACACACTTATTTTTTCCCTAACAGTTCAACCCTGGACTGGGAGTTAGGAGATCTGGGACCTGGTGTGTACACTTCATGCATTTACAAGCACTGTCATTTATCTGCTATATGATCTTGAGCAAGTAATGCTTCCTCTGTAAGCCTGAGCTTCATCATCTATTAAATAGGAATAATAATACATGCCTTGCCTCCCTCATTGGAAAAACCAAATGACATGAAAAATGTATTTTGCAAACTATAAAATGTTATGCAAATACATTACTATTATCAGAAAACAATAACCTAGTACTAGCAAGTCACTTAACCCCAATAGCCTAACAAAAAAAAAGAAAAAGAAAAAAGAAAACAATAATCTAAAAAGATTGCAAAAAATCCGTTGCAACTTTTAAACTTGAGCTTATTACTCCCTGCTCCCCACCCCCAAACCCAGCACACATACTTATGTATACAGTGAAAGGTACTGAATTTGTTTAGAAGCAACATTAAGATTTTTATTTTAGAGTTAAAGATGAAAATTCAGGATGTTTAATGCCATATTATTTACATACATATAATTTAAAACTATTAAACAGTTTATTTTTTTTATGTTCAAGATTTTAAAATTTGGCTTGCAAAAGAAGAAAGACTTAACATTTATGCCTCAATCAGAATCTCAGAGAAGATTTGGATAGAGAAGGGGCTTTATGACATTACCTAGCCCAATCTTTTCATTATGTAAATTAGGAAACAGAGTCTCAGGGAAAGGTAGCTCTCCTTCCAAGGTCCCACAAATAGTAAAGATCGTTCATATTTAAATACAGGTCTAACTCCACATTCTGTGTTTTTTTCCATTACTCAATCAATCTACATGAGAAGCAGTCAAATAGCTTATTCTGAAAGATCTGTGGGGCTCAGGAAATCAACATTTTATTCCACTTTTGGATTTGTTATTACTTCTTTTTGGTCATTCCAGTGAACCTATCAGTGGAGAACTCCCAATGTGGGAAACCTCTCTACTGATGTAGATCAGTAATTCTTCTGTAAGTTAGATGTCTGAGAAAGTTGACTTGCATGTTGAAAGCATGAGCAAGTGACTTACTCATGGTCGGGTAGGCTATATATATCAGAAAGAAGACCAGAACCCAGATTTTCCTGATTCCAGTCCCTGGCTGTTTATCTGCTCTGCCACATGCAATCAAGACCTGCTTCTCACTAACTTCTTCCCATTGCTCTCTACTGTTCTCTTACATCAAGTAACACACATTTAATCCTTCCACACAACAATTTTTTAAATAACTGATACTGTGAATACTCTAAGCCTATTCTTCTCTAACTTATATTCTCCCAGTCTCTTGAAATAATCATTGAAGGGCATGGTTTTCAATCCCCTCACCATCCTTTTAGCCATTCTATGGGCACACTTCAGCTTGTCAACATTCTTCCTAAAATGGAAACCGAATACAATGTGCCATATGTAGTATGACAAACCAATATTATAATACAACTCACTTTCCAGATCTCTTAAGATTATTGTTAGCTTATTTGGTTGCCACATCACAGTGCTGTCCACTCATAGCCCTAGACCTTTCTTCACATGAAGTACTTCCTACTCATATTGCCTCTATCCAATACTTCTTTAGTTGGCTTTTTGAATTATAAGATCTTCATCTAATTGGATCTTTATTAGATCATTCATCTTATTAGATTCAGCCAATAGTCTTGTCTCTTGAGATATTCAGTATATTGGTTCTGTCAATCAACATAGTCTCTATTACCTGCAGTTTCATGCCATTCCTAAATTTTGTGTATGTCATCCAAGCTACAGACAGAAATGTTAAACCAAAAAAAAAAAAGACCCAAAACAGAATTTGGTGCCATTCCACTGCGACCACCCTATATAGTCTGACATTAATTCATTAATTATCATTCTTTTGATCTGGTCATTCAAACAAAAATCCACTTAATTGTACTACTAACTAGTCCACATCTCTAATTTGTCAATACATATATCATGGAACATTGTCAAGTATTTTGCTGAAATCTAGATATATTCTGTCTACAGAACTTTCTTGAAATACAGTTTAATAACCTTGCAAAATAAGGAAATGATGCAATCTGGCATAATGGGTTCTTTATGAACCAATATCACTATATCCTTTTGTAAATGCATAATCCATTTATATATGAAAATTTTAGTAGGTTATAAAAATGACTTGATTATATGAAAACCTACGTTCTTCAAAGGAAAATACAAACATATATCTTAAACTCGGGCAATCTTCCTCCTTCCTAACAAAATACAGATTTTATGTGGCGATTTGGTTTTCAGGAACAGTTTTCCCCTAGAGTTTTATGAAACATTAATTATACTATAAATAAAGAGAAGGAGGAAAGGATTAAGAAACTGGTACTGAGAACTGGGAGTAGGAACAGAACCAGAATTTTAGAACTGGAAGGGGCTTTTAACATCTGGTGTGAACCTGTTGTTTTTATAAATGAGAAAACTAAGACCCTCAGAGATCCACAGAATCCTAAGATTTAAGATGAACTTAAAGGATAAGAGGAGAAAAGGGAAGGGATGAATTAAAATTCTGTGGACTAAATCCCATGATCCCCTGTGTATGAGATACAATCTTCAAAATGGGTTTGAAAGATGGGAGCAATTTGCACATTGGAAGACTATCTTCTTTGAAAAAGGGTTGTAATAGGGGCAGCTAGGTGGCACAGTGGATAGAGCACTGGCCCTGAAGTCAGGAGTACCTGAGTTCAAAGCCAGCCTCAGACCAAACACTTGACACTTACTAGCTGTGTGACCCTGGGCAAGTCACTTAACCCCAATTGCCTAAAAAAAGGGGGGGGAGTTGTAATTCACTAGATTCCATCCCATACCAGGATGGGGAACATATGAATTAGAAAGAGACACAGAAAGAGATTGGATAACCTGCCCTTAGCAGTGTTGAGTAATTATGGTAAAGGCAAGGAGGAAGATCTGCCTTAGTAATTCAGGATACAATGTGACACTACATAACACTATTTCCATTCAACATTTCTTCCTTCATGAATTGATACTTCTAATTGTGAAGCACAGCAGAAAACATAAAGTATTAAGAAGTATTACAAATGCAGTAACAGAGTGGTATGAAAAAGGACTGAAACTGAATGACTATTATTTACTATATGCCAGGCACAGCACTAAGTGCTTTACAAATATTTACACATAATATCTCATTTGAGGAAGGAACTGAAATTTGATTCTCAAGAAATTACACATTTGGGAGTGCTGCAGAGTGAATTAAAAAGGAACAAGTAAAGACACAGTCTGTTAGATGAAGAATAGAATTCAAAAGGGGGAGAAAAAGAAAAAGGACAAAGTAAAGGAAAATTTATTGGAAAAGGATGCCATAAAGGAATTAGCAGCTAGGTGGCCCTGTGGACAAAATGCTGGTCCTGAGGTCTGAAAGACTTCTCTTCCAGAGTTCAAATCTGACATTGGACATGTACTTGTTATGTGACCATGGGCAAGTCACTTAACTGTTTGCCTCAGTTTCCTCATCTATAAAATGGGCTAGAGAAGAAAATAGTAAACAACTCCAATATCTTTGCCAAGAAAACCCCAAATGGAATCACAAGAGTTGAATATGACTATAAAATGACTGAACAACAACAAAGTCGTAATATAACATAAATTAAGATTTTTAGGAATAGGAGTTAATAGAGAGGAATAGATCAACATAAAGAAAAATAAATTAAGTAAATTCAAGGAATTTGTGACAGGGATTGATGAAAAGGGATAAAACAAAATACAAAAGAAATAACTGGAAGATTATAATGACCCAGCTTAACCTGGGAAAGAGTTGAGAAAACCTGCCTCCCTCCCTTCATTACAGAGACAGCAGACTACGAGTGTCTAATATTTCACATGTAACACACCTTCTAGTCACTATCTTCCTCTCTCTACCTGTCTTTGACATGTCTTCGTACCTGCTGAATATATTTCCTCCTACTGTACCAACAGGTCTAATGATATGGTAGATAGGTGGAGAAAAAATAAAGTCCACTCCCTCCTTCCTCCACTGCCTTTCCAGTGTAGAAAGGGGTCTATAGTCTATAGTCACAACTTGCCCCTGAAGTCTGCATCTTTTGTATACTGGCCCAAAAAGCATGACTAAGATTCTCTAAACTACAGGTGGAGAACTTGTGGCCTTAAGGCTACATGTGGCCCTTTAACTAAATCCAAACTTCACAGAACAAATCCTTAAAAGGGAATTTGGATTCAGTCAAAGGGCTGCACTTGAGGACCCAGAAGGCCACAGGTTCCACACCCCTGCTCTAAACTGTCATATGCAATAGCATAATCCTTTCAATTAGTTAAAGACTTATTCATCATTTGTTGTAGGGCTGCTGAAAAATTCCTTAACACTTCGCATTTGTAATTACTTTCTTCATCTTCCGTGAATACATTAATCTGAGGTAAGGAGGGAAATTCCTTCACTTAATTATATACTATCAGATATGATGAATCTTTTGGTTGACTTTGCTAATACTTTTTCCTTTTTCTTGTTTATTCTCTGTTGCAAGAAGTTTAATAGAGAGGGTAGGAAAAAGAGCTATATTAAGAAATGAATGCAACATATAAAAAAAAAGACATCAATAATAAAGATAGCATTTTCCACCTTAGTCTTTTTTTCTTCCTAAAATGAATTATTTGGATAATAAAGCTAAAGAAAAACTATCATTGCATCACATTGTTGCTTTATTTTTTTCACCCAAATTACACTTGTCCCACATTACTCTAGTTCATATGACTCTCTCTTGTGTCTAATACCACCTGATTACTTTGATCTGGATAATCTCATGACCCACTCCCAATGTGTCTACAGAAGACACATTCTGATCAAAATTGCTTTTCTAAGCAGCCTTTGATGATCATTGCTAGTTGCTTGTGTAATAAGGGTTTGGAGAAAAATAGGCCATCTGAGATGGATTGCCTTTGGGAGACTGGCAGACTGGAACACACATAGATATTCTGCCTTGGCCTACCACATAGTTAGCAGCAAACTTCTTCCATTGGCTGGAGAGCTGGAATTGGCAGCATCTTTAAAAGGCCTAACTCAGCATGATATAGTCCTCCAGTCTCCTGAAAGCAATCCCCTAGTGTTTTCATGTAAGTAATGCCATAGTAAGTAGTGAAGGCATGAGTTAAGGCCTTATTACCCTTAATTTCTCTATTCTTCCTAATTAATCCCTACACCTACAAGTTTCCTGAACTATACCTCTTTCTACCCAAACTTCTCTCTCCTTCTTACTATTTTTTTAATTAAAGCCTTTTCCTGGAACTCTTGGTTGTCCCTTCATACTTTTTTTGGTCTTATCACAAGCAGTTCTCTCTTTCATGCTTCTCTCCAAAATTTCCAAGTTTATGGATACTGATATGCTTGATATGAATAACTGGAATATCATCAGACAGAGCTATCTCTGTGGTTCCATCTATCACAGAATCACATAAGACCTTAAAATATGTAGATGACATCATGTTAGAGAAATATATATGTTAAATGGAAATGTGAATGAATATTCAATTAAAGCCAATGTGTGGTAAGTCAGAAATTTGTGTATAGGAAATAATAACTGGCAGGAGGCAAATATACTGCTAAAAGTTAAATAAAAGTTCAAGTGTCCCTTATAACAATTTCTAATCTATTACACACTGACATAAGTATCTCTATTGATACTTTTGGGAATATGGTGAAATTAATAGGTAGGCTTTGGGAATTATTTTCTACAACAGATCATATATTTACTGTTATTCAACTGACTGAAAAGTGAAAGTAATACATATTTTCTACGATTCTATAATCATGTTTACTATTGGTTTATTATTAGTTGATTTTTTTAAAGCAGTTAGTAGAGTAAAATATATCCTTAAAGGCTATTTTCCAACAAGGTGTCTCTCAAGCAATTAAAATAATACATAATTTCTTCATAGATACAAGCACAGAGATAGTTATAATCCTCTGAGTAGTAATATTCAGTCAGGCAAAAAAGAAAAAAAAAAGGATTCAGACACTTGCCAATGTCAAGGGCAATTTCTACTGCCCTATAATCTCTCATACCTGTCCACTTCTCTCCACTCACAAGAACCCCTCACCCAGGTTCAACACTTACCACCTCTTGCTTACATTACTGCAATAGCTTTCTTAATAGGTCTCCCTTCCTCTAGGTTCTTCCTTCTTTAACTCTCTTCCTCTATGCTAGGAGTTAACTTTTTCATGGGAGGTGGGGGGGGGGAGTATCATGGGCCCTTCTGGCAATCTGGTAAAGCCTATGGACCCATTCTTACAATTTTTTTTATACATAAAAACAAAATACCTAAGATTACAGAGGAAACCAATTATATTGAAATAAAATTGTAATTTTTCCCACGTGTGGTCTCCTACTCCCTGCAATCTATCCAGGACCCCCTTGTCCTGCTCTACACAGATGCTTAAACTGATCTGACCATGACACTCTCCTGCTCAAAAAGCTTCTGGAGCAGTGCTAGGGAACCTGCAGCCTCAAGGCCACACATATGTGGCCCTCTAGGTCCTCAAGTGCAGTCCTTTGACTCAATCCAAACTTCCCAGAAAAAATCCCCTTAATAAAAGGATTTGTTCTGAGAAACATGGACTCTGTCAAAAGGCCACACCCAAGGACCAAGAAGGCCATATGTGGCTTCAAGGCTGCAAGCTCCCCACCCCTGTGGGGCTTCCTCTTGCTTCTAAGATAAATACAAACTCCACTGTTAAGCATTTTAATGACTTTCAAAGTCTGGTTCCAACCTACCTTTTCATAATTATTTCACATTATTCCTCTCTACATCACTAGATTTTTCCTTAACCACAACCACCTATGTACCTTGCACAGGTTGTTCCCCTTGTCAGGAGTGCCCATTCTGATTTCTGTCTTTTAGAATTCAAGGTTTAGCATACGTGTCACCCGACAAGAGACTTTTTCTGATTCCCACCAATAGTTTTTGTTTCCCCCGACTCAAATTTAGGATTATAGAATCACAGATTTTGAGCCAGAATGGACCTCAAATGAAATCTAATTTATCCTTTCATTTTACAGATGAAGAAATCAAAACCAGAGAGAATAAATAATTTCATATTCACTCTGTATACATTTTAGATTTACTTATCTGTGTTCATGGTATTCTTCCCATTCCCAAGTAGAATATAAGCTCCTTAAGGTTAGAGACTAGAGTCTGGTACGCCTGAGTTTAAACCCAGCTCCAAGCACTTACTTGTGTGACCTTGGGCAAGTCACTTAATGCCTGTTTGCCTCAGTTTCCTCACCTGTAAAATGGGGATAATAACAGCACCTACCTCCCAGGCTTGTTGTGAAGATCAAATGAGTTAATATTTGTAAAGTGCCTGGAACATAATAAGCTGTATATAAATCTTAACTTGTTATCATTTAAGCTCTGGTACTTTAGGTTTAGAGTTTAGAAATAAATTAGCCTCAAAGTTTTAGTTTAGAAATTAATTAGAAAGCTCCAAAGCTCTAATTTCAAAATTAATTAATTACAAAGCCTCAGAGCTGATGGTAAGGTTCCCTATATACCTTTTAAAAGGGGAGGAGAAATTTCCAGGAGGTTGACTGGAATAACTATGATAATGATTAATCATAATAAAGACCATTACTATAGCACTTACTGGGTGCCAGGTATGTGCTAAGCTCTTTACAAACATCACCCCACTGGATCCTGACACAGGCCAGACCTCAGGCCTCAACAAGCTCAGAGACCTCGGATGTGGAGTGTGACGTCACCGATGGGGGGGCTTCCGAGTCAGAAAATCCCCTTCCTACAAAGCACATCTAGTGCCAGTGGGTAGTCAAGGTGACCCCGGGCTCCGGGCGCTCCCGATGTCCCTGTGAGGAGAAACCTTCAGTTTCCTGCGGGCGGTATAGACCACGCTTTCCACCTCTCGGGGCGCACAGCGAAGGCACGGCTGCACCTCCCCCACCCACGAGGACTCGGAGAACGCAATCAGGGCCCGGAGCCCGGCGCCCTACCTTTGGCCCTAAGGTCTAGTTGGCGCAACTCACAGGGATTGTCCTGCGGGTTCCTGGGCGACGGCTCGCTCTTCATTGAGGGGGCAGCGTGCTGGGCAGTGGAGAGGGCTGGACTTCGGACACTTTATGGCGGCGTCACCCTGAGCAAGTCACTGAACACTGCTTTGCCTCAATCCTTATTGTAAAGTGAGCTGGAGAAGGAAATGTATCCACTCCAGTATCTTTGATTCAAGAATATTCTAAATGGGATCATGAAGTGTCAGACACGACTGAACGACAAGTCTCTCGCTCCTCTCTCTCATCACCGCGAGGACGCGGGGCGCGGGATCAAAGGTCAGGAGAGGCGCCAAGCGAACACGTGTGCCCGTGCGCCTGCGCACTCGCTAAGCGTCGCCGCCATGTTTAGTCGGGGCGCCGGAGGAAGGGCAGCCGACGCCCTACTTCCACCCCCAGCGGCAGCTCCTTCCCTTCCCTCTTCCGTTCCCAGGAAGTTGGTGAAGTGGTGCCCCCTTGTTCCGAAGGTGGCCGCGGTGTACCGACCCAGTGACATTTCGGGCCACCTGGGGATTTCCCCTCCACACCTGGCCAATGTCTCCGTGTCTCTAACTGATACAATAGCTTTAAAAAAGAGACAAAAAAAGTGAAAGGAAAGGAAAGCTTGCCAGGTCAGGGGCATCTTGAGACTAGGCTGTTCAAATGATGTACAGCACGTGTGTATGTGTGAATGTAGGGTGCTCGGCCCCAGCACTAACCTCATGGCTCTGGAAGCCTCTAAATTAAGTTGGGATCTTAGGGCTGGGGCCAAGCACCCCATCATGTATGTATGTATGTATGTATGTATGTGTCCATATACAATTACATATATACGTATATACTGTACATGTACGTATGTTAGTGCTTGTGTATGTATTTTACTTATATAATTACACACACACATTCAGCCATAGCAGGTATCCTAGATCTAGAGCTGAGAAGTCTCTCTTACAGAGGAGGAAACAGACCCGGATAAGTTAAATGATTTGCTGCAGGTCATGTAATTAGGCTATGATTTGAACCTATCCCATATCTCCAAATTCAGTGTTCTTGCTATTCAGTATTAGGTCTTTTTGTCTCTAAAGAGAATTAGAACAGCAGCTCTTCCAAACTTCTTCATTTCCCTAGTCTTCCCCCTTCCTCAAGTTCATCTCCTTTCCCCCTTCTGCTAAGGACCTCTCCTCTTCCTACTTTACTAAAACAAATCCAGACCATGAGATCCTTTGTTCCCATGCTGCACACAGTGTAAACCCCTCAACATTTTTGCCTTTCCTTTTACTCTTTGCTCCAGTAAAAGATGAAGAAGCAGGCCTCCTTGCCAAGGCTTCCTTCTCTACCGGTATGCTTGACCGTCATGATTCCTACTTCTTTAACCCTAATTT